GTTTGTTTGTTTGTCACTGAGAGAGTTCTGACTAAGACTGAATGAAATGCACAAGGTTTGAAAGTTTGCTCCTCGAAAAGCCTTTTTACTTTTGTGTGGTTTTTGTTTTTTGTCACTTGAAAATTACTTTGGACTGGGAACAACCAATGTTAAAGGAAAAACGGATCCTTCCGTCAGTCTGAGGTGGAATAAAGAGTTTTGAACATTTCCAAAGAGGCGAGTATTTTTTTGATTGTTCATTCGATTTATTTGTGAATTGATTTCGCCTTCTTTCGCCGGGCTGAATTAAAACCAACTCTTTTTTTAAATTAGTAAATACTTTTTCACATGCCCAGATTTATTCCCTTTGTAGAACCAGCTTTATCCTTCTCTTCAGTCAAAGAACCATTTTGTGCGCCGTAAAACTTTCTCGGAAATACCGGTAGAAGGCCAGTAAACTTACTCTAGAAGAAAAGAATCATTTTTCTGTTGCTCAAATACTATAAGTAGTCAGAGTTTTCTTCACTTTTACTTACATAGTTTTGTTTTCCACTGCACTGTGAAAGTTTCTGTTCTTTATAAGAAATAACTTTCTGTACGCAAATTTTCCATTTCACTCGCTGTGAAGTCAGTAGAGGACAACTGCCGGCAGTCACTTCAAAACAATTGACTCTGCCCGTAACACTGAATTGCTGGAGCTGGATTTGTCTGAAGCGAGCAAAACAAATACCCTTATGTGCAGTTTTCTGAATTTTGTAACGATTGGCTGAGTTTAATTTGTTTGAATGAAGACCCTCATATGGACCAGTTATTCATTGAGTTATTAAAGCGAAGAGAAGAGCTACATGGTGAATCATGGTTTAGCTGCGAAGCTCACTGCAACTGATCTTTTGCTTTTAAGATCTTTAGGTAGGTTGTTTTCGTACAAAAAATTCATTTCTTCGTTGTCGGCAAGAAGTTTTTGCAATAATGTAATTTTAACTTTGTTTGAAGGAAATCCTACTTACGTGTAGGTTTTTGAAAGATGTTATGTATTTTCAACTTGACAACACAAAGCATAATTTATATTTATCTCTTAGTACGCAAAGCGATCAAGTTTAAAAATAAACTACAGTTGCTTTAGAACCGATTTTTGGGAAGATTTTACTAGATAAAGATTGACCTTTTTTCTGCCCGCATATCAACGCAATAACTTCTACATTGAGGATTTTGTTTATATTTTAGTTATCTGCGAAACTACGAGTGTCCGATCGAGCGAGGGTTTTAAAATATCAGCTCGAGTGAGACAAGTTCAGTGCCTTCAAACACATTGTGGGCAAGCGTTAATTTTTTGGGGCAAATCACTGTCCAAAGATATGTTGTTTTTGTGTCCACAGTGGAGCTCCGGACCTTATATATCCAGGAACTTCCTTATATGAACACATTTTGTGAATGCACCTTGAAAAAAATCGGACCTACGCATGCACATTTCCAGTACAACGCAAGGAAATTGATGTCGTTAAAGTCCGTTTTACTATGAGGTATTCTTCGAGAAAATTAAGTAACGACAAGGTTATAACCACAGCTTGCAACTTTTGAAGACAAATTGCCTGTTCTTTCCAGGTTATGAGTGGAAACATCTTATTTTTAGGCAATAAAATATTTGAAATCCCGCCATTTTTTCAAACCCGGCCAGGGGATCTGGGCAAAAAAGTTCACGCATGCTCATTACGTTTTTCCGCCCTGAACTCAGGACTCTCTCCACAAGACTCAACCTACGGACATAACAAGCTCGGTTACCTGGGGTGGCGTCCGCGTGTTGGTTGATTATTGTTTGAGTATTTATACTTGTCAGACAATGAATTAAGGACTCGTAAAGTTTCTTGAGGGTAAAAGAGTTTGCCATTTACTTGTACATGAAGCATTGAAGTGTTTTTTTTTTAAACAAATTTAAAGTAAAAAGTGAGAGGCATAATTTATGCATTTTGTTTGCTAAAACGAGCTTAATTTACAAAAACTAGCAGAATTATTGGCATAATTTTAGAAATATACGAGCACTGCAAGTAGCATATCATGCTACTTTTGCGAGCACAGTCTACTAAAGCCTTTTTTCCAGGGTACCTCCTACCTCCCCTCCTCCCCTCCCCTCCCGCTAACTCGTGGTTATTAAACTTTGCGAGCCTAACTCTTTAACACCCACGAAATAAATTCTGAGTGACATGCTATGAACAATGATTATTTTGTTTTCAACAGATTGGAAGATGGCTGGCATGAAAACATTAATCATTATTTTCGTTATCATGTTCCCAGTCGCGATGATAACAGAGGAAGATGTAAATCATGGAGGTAAAAACTAACAACTACGACATCACTAACAAATTTAATTGCCCACCTGCGGATTATCGCCATTTTATTTCAGCACCCTGTCAAATGTCCCGTCTCTGCTTCATGTACAGAAAACCGCTTAGAATTTTCATCTTTACACTTTCCCTAAAGGATTCTTCCGAGGATTTATTCACCATAATTTTTACATCGTCCATAA